AGCAGCATAGTTGCTTAAGTCATCACCATATCTCCACTCAATTCTGGGCAACTCCCAAGCTTCATCTTTCAGTGTTTCCAATCTTCAGAACTTGAAACGAGAAATTAGAATTCTGGGAAAATTCATGAGTTATTTTCTATTTTGCATTATTGTTAAAATGTTTGAAATATTCTTTATTCTGTTTATTAATTATTACAGATATTAAAATTGTTTAATAGATAAGGTATTTTAAATTTAGTGTTATTTACAAAAATCGTATCCTATTGTAAACATCTAAACACTGGAAGTAATGGAAAATGTTATTGGGTAGAATCCAAATAATCTTATATTCAGATCTCTTTATTAGATTACCAATACTACTTAGAGTCATACATGGAAACTGTCAATTGGAGGACTTATTTTGCTTCAAAACTTGACATTTTTAATATCAGTTATATAATTCGTATGATGTAAACTATGCATATCAACTTACTAATATTTTATTGGCATTGAACACACATATATAACATGGTAACAGCTGAAAGGAAGGCTGAATGAAGGCATGGCCACTTTTCTGTTCTCCTGTCCCAGTTCCTGAAATGCTGATCTTGTTCTTTGACTCCGTGCATCAGTTTCCTACTCTTATTTTTGATTTTGCGTTAGTGGCTTTCATGAGGCCAGTTATATCTCTATGTTGATTGTTCAGTTTTAATTTTCAGAAGAGAATTAGAATACCTTTTCTCAATGTTTCAACTAATTTGGGGGGTTTTAGAAGCACATTAAAATTCGCTGAGAAATGCCAAGAGGGAATTGACACATGCAAGTGCTACTTATGGTAAGGCATGGCCTGGCTGTCTGGTGACTCCAGCTAGATGGGGCAGGCTGGGAGATGCTGGGACCTGGAGGGGAAAAAAGCATGCTTGCTGGGTGGGAGTAGCTCCTGGAGTACAAACCCAGCTTCCAAGGCTAGAAGAAATCCCATCCTGACAGGTGGTGATGGCCATGAGCATGCATCTGACAGACCTGTGACTACAGGGAGCAGAACTGATCAAGGGCCCCAGCTGCTGCACTCTGGAATCAAGGGTGGGGTTGTGCCCAAGCAGCCCACCCTCTGCTTGTTCCCTCCCAATGGCTAGATGATGAGGGGATATTAAGTCAGGCCCAACCCTGAGAGACACAGTACCCCTTTGGTAGATGCCTTTGGTTAAGATGCCCTGACAGCTTTCTCAGACCTTTTTAAAAAGGCTGAAGGGGGAAGCTAGAAGCTGCCACCTTCTCCTCTTCTCTACTTCATTGGGAGTCATTGAGCATTACAATCTGAATTCTCTACCAGCCTTCTCCATTTCTCATCCTAGTTCCTTTCACACAGGCATGTCTCTTAATGAAATCCTTGCACACTTTATCCTGTCTCAGCATTTACTTCTCAGAGAAAGTGAACTAGCGGACAAGTAGATTTCAGTACTCATCCATCATGGCTGCAGAAAGTAGGGGTCAGGATATCCAGTGGAGTGTCTGGCAAATGGGACATGTACATTGGCAATGAGGATTTTCAGCAATCTAAGCCAGCAGGCAGGCAGGAGATTTTAGTAATGTTCTTCTTTCCCGAATTCGTGGGTAGTAAGAGAGTACAATCTTCCACCACTCGAAAGCACCGAAAAGGAATGAAGACAGTAAATTGCTAAGGAGGCTGAGCTCATCCACTGTGGCCAGGAGGCCACAGGTGAGGCAGCCACAGTGGGAAAAAAAAAGAAGAAATCCAGTTATAAGACCTGGGGGCAAGATGAGAGCCAAAATGGCAGCCAAGCAAATAGGAAAGGATGTCCTAGATATTAAACCAGAATTTCATAAATCCTCCCAACAAAGATAAAGGTTGGTGTTGGTTCTAGAAACTAGCACAGGATTGAACCTTCAGTTATAAAGAATGACTTTTGTAGGAAGCTTGAGAGCTTAACCATGGGAAAGAATAGAGCTACTGAGGTTCATGCAGAGAAAGGTAAACATTCATATGGCCTGAGGAATAGGGCCACCCACTGAGGTGACTCTGGCACAGTCATTTTACTGACTCCTCCCAGGAGCTGGGCTGGCTTGTGAGACAACAGAGATTTAGGGACCAGAGCAACAGTGGAGTAAAAATGCTCACTAGTTTGAGCTGCTTTTTGCACTTTGAGGTATGTTATTTGAAAATTATCCATGTCACAGTCTGGCCTTATCATATTTTGGCTGATCAATATGGAGAAATATTTATAGAACAATTCATTCTTTAATTCAGAAATATTCACTGGACAGCTATGTGCAAAGCTAATATGGAAAGATGCTCAATTGTAAATATCTTTATATCTATGTTGTAACATGTCAATTATTTGCACCTAAAAAGTGTATTTGCTTTGTGAAAAATCTCAAGAAATCATGAAAAATTAAGTGTTGAAACAGCCCAATTGTAATCCAAGATAATTAGAATTTAAAGTAATGAGAGTATAAAGCAAATGAGAGGCTTTTAAATGGGTAACTTTATTCATTATTATTGAATATCCCTACAAGTGAAATCAAAGACTCTAGCATATCTCTCCCAAGAAATATGGGGTACTGGCGGCATTGAATCTGAATTTGTTTTCCAAAGAGACCTGGAAACCAGTATTTCTCTAACTCATATCACTGTTGTCATGGATGACCAAATTTGGCATAGCTATTCTGGAAACAGATCTTGTGAGAAATTACAATCTAAAAACCAGGAGAAAATTGGCATTAAAATCTTCTGATTTAAATGCAAGCTGAAAATATAAGCTAAATTATGAAAGCCCACTCTTTTAGGCCACTTATCTTCACTGTTGCTGGCCATGTTGTCGTGAATAAGAGAAAAGACTGCTGCAATTGTGTTAGGTCACAAGATTGTACCAATTTGCAGTCTAACATTTACATTTTTAAGCTGACTAGAATAAATTGAGGACATTCTACCACTGTCATTGCCTACTTATCAGTGGAGATATAGAAATATTTTATGAGCTTTCAGAAAAGCTACTTTGTTAGTGTCAAGGCAAAGGCTAATCTTGTTAATGGATTTCAACTGGCTGTCTCTAAGTTCTCCATAGGTTTAAAAAAACTGCATGGCATTGTCATGTTCTGAAGCTGCCATTGGAACCATGGGTCATGATGGGTGCCTTTAGTGTCTCAATGATATTACCAAATGTTATGCCCAAACCCATGGTCTAATGTTGTGTTCTGAAAGGCAAGCCTGATTTACTGCTGTGTCTGAAACTTTTATTGGAACAGGATACTATGTTTTCTTTCCAATGACTGCACAAAAACTATACACTCTCTCAGATTAGCCCAAGACACCTATAAAGCTACTTTCAAGTGTTTATAAGATTGAAATCAAAACATGAGATCATAAGCCTTTTGCTGCAAATGTCATTATGTGTTTAAATGTCCTTTTTTGTGATATTACAATATCAGGAAACTGCTCTTATGCATTCACTAATAGCACAACTGAAATCAGACAAACCAGACTCAAAGTCAGCCTGGGTTAGATGTCTTTGTTGGTTTAACTTTATTGAAAGGCTAGGAAAAGGAGAAATAAAATTCCCAAGCCTTTATTTCATACATATTTACCTTAAGTTAGATGATAATTTCATTATTTTCTCTCAATATTTATTGGACACCTACCACACACAAAGAGAGTAACAGGACATCAGGAGCTTAAACACTCTCTTCTCCCAGTGTACTTCCATAGTCAAGTGGGCAGTTGAGTACTCCAATTAATTTAGCATGAACTGTGAGATTCAAGACAGGTGTCAATAAGCAGAGGCAAAGCACAGCTATCCAGGTTACTGTATGGATCTGACATCTTCCCCAAATGGATCCTGTGAATGGCTCAGTTCTGCAATGGTCTCTGATAGGACAAGTATACTTGGCTCCAACGTAACTAGCATCCCAACCATATCTACTCACTTGGACCTATCTAATTCCCATTCATCTCTAATATTTCAAAATAATGATAAATTCCTCTGGGACTCTCCGCTGACCTCATTCAAAGGGACACCCTTCTCTGTGCTTCACGGCACTCTGTATTTCTTGTATGGCATTACTTATCATGCTTTAATCCTAAGTGTTTGCTTCATTATTGACTCTCCTAATAAAGTATTAGCTCCCTGAAGACAGATAATTAATCAGTGTTGCTTATCGTGGCCTTGTACATAGCTGACATATGATAAGTATCCAATAAATGCATAATTGAATGAACATATAGCCTATGATAATTATATAGAAAGTTTCCTGTTAAGGCTGTCATGAACAGTTGAGCAACTCTTCTACTTCTGGGGACACTATTCACTTCAAAGTCTTTGTAAATGGTTCTCCCTGGAGTTGAACAGTGTACAACCAGTACGGTCTTACATGATGGTTTTTCCTCCCATCTGCTATGTATTGCACCCAAATTTTTCTTTGTTGAGTTAGTTGAAACATAGACTTTTACTGTCTAATAAAAGCCAGAAATTGCATTTTAGCCTGCATGTCCAATAAAACGCAATAAAAATTCCTTGGAACAACTGCATATGGCTTACAAATTTAACATTTGCATGGCCCTTCACAAGGATTAAGGTCTTGGGATCTGGTATAGCAGGAAATTGTTTGTCATTAAAGAAGGCATTCTGGTGGTGGTGAAGGGATATGTTCAAACAAAGGAAGTTAAGACAGCCTTCAGTGAATCAACATTCTTGTTTTTTACCTGCTTTATTCTATTAAGAAAAAGCAATCCCCTTCATCTCAAATCTTTTTAAAAATAGAGAAAAAACAAAGAATGAAAAGATGGGAAGGAAGAGGTAAGGAAGAGGAGGAGGGAGGGAGGGAAGAAGGAAGGGGAAAGTAAAAACAAAGGGATGAGTTTGCAATATTCCAGAATAGATGGATGAAAAAGAAATTCAGGATACAAATGAAAAAGTTAGAATTTTAATACTCACTTGTTTTTTTAGTTTGAGACATTATCTAGGTGAACTAACGCTCATTTCTCTGTTTTTTCTCAAACACAGGAGCAGAGTCCATCGCCCTGGCGCAAGTCATCCATTGATGTTAAAGCTGTCACTGCCAACTAGTGAGCCAGGCATTAGCTATGGACAGTGTGGGACCAGAATGTTATTCACTAGCTAAGACTTTCAGAATTTTTGTCATTTGGTAAGTGCAGCATCTCGGGACATAATATTTGTCAACTGCTCACAGCTTTACATATCACACTCTCCACGAGTGCTTTCCTATATTTCAAAGTTCTGTCTGTAAAAAAAAAAAAAAAAAAAAAAAAAGCTGTGCTCTTTCCTTAAGGATTGCCAATTTCCCTATATTAATTAACAGCATTGTCTTTTGCTTAGCTGAAGGCCTTTGAATAATTCTGGTAACTTGAGGACTTGGTTTCCCTCTTAATTCCATTCAGATTTTTCTGACTCCTGAGTTCATTTTTTTACTTAAGGATTTAAACTGTTCTTTTGGCTTTTGAAGATTAAAAAACAAATCAGGCTGGGACATTTTGCCAACAGTTACTAGTTAAGTTGCTGCTGTGCTATGATCAACAACACACAAATATTTATGCCAAAGCTAGTTTATAAATTGTCCTCTTTAACTATAGAAGAATGCTTATTATCCTATATCGCCCTGTCTCTATATTCAACAACCATCTTTCAGGTATCTGCTTCCATGAAAGAGATACATACCTGAAACTAGAAGTCTCTCTTAGAACTAAAAAGTATTCCTCTCTGGGGAAGGGGCTGCAGCATCTGTATTTTTAACAAGGCTGTTATGTGCACAGAAACACTGGAGATCTATGCCTTAGTTATACTTCTCTCAACTTACCTATTTTTCTTATGTCAATATAGTTATGTCCTGGTCTTACATATCCTGTAAACTATGTCCCTGGAGAATAGAAACTAGATTCTATGCATCTTTACTCTTCAGGTGGTGCCCAGGGCTGTGTGTTGTCCAGAGCAGACTTTCAAATTGACATTTGTTGTGAATCTCATCGAATGTATGTGAGAGAGATATGTAAACAAACAAAACAGGCCATATTTGTGCTGGATTTCAGGGAGAATTATGATTTGTCAACAAAGCAAAATTACTTGCCTCCTTGGCCATTTGCCTTTTTATTTTCTATATTCTATGAGTTTAGGTATCCCTGCAAGGATAGGAAAAATATATAAGTGTGATCTTAGAGTATGTTCTAGAGCAGCACAGTCCAACAAAACTTTCTAGGATGATGAGGCTGGTGTAATCCATGCTGTACAATAATATGGTAGCCACATGTGGCTGCTGAACAAATGACATGTGGCTTGTGGGGCTGAGGCAATGCATTTTTTATTTTATTTAATTTTAATTGGTTTTAATTTAATTAGCCTCTCTTGGCTACCAGCTTCCTTATTGGACAGAGCTGCTCTAGAAGATAAGTAGATAGTCTTCAGCACTGAGATGATGAACATTTTTACTCTTCTCTCTTTTTTCCTCTTCAACATAGTGTCTGGCATATTATTTACTTATTTATTATTAGTTTTTGTTAGCCTCAACTGAAAAATGTTTACTGTTTTTTATTCTTGCCTTGCCTCTTTTTTTTTGTTTGTTTGTTTATTTTGATTTGGGCTTATTTATTTATTTATTTTTACTTCATTTAAAAACTTAATTTCCTTCCAGTGTCTTAGGTCCCATTGGTCCTGTTGGTGACTTTCATAGATAAAATAAAATCTGATCCAAGATATACAACTTCCCATTTCCCTGAACTTGATAGGGTTTTTAAAATATAAAAATTCCTTGGGTGAAGGAATTGGCAAATATTCACTTAAGGTTCTAGATGATTTCTGTTGTTATCTACCTGAAGGCTTTGATTTCACATCTTATGATCACACATGGATTGGCCACACATCCCAAATGTCACTTTTCCTTACCTTGGCCAAACACCCTTGCTAATTCAACTCTCCCACAAAGTAAGTTGTCATGCTAATATAGGTATAGAGTTGGGCCCATCTGATTAAAGACCCAGCCATGCAGTTTCAAATGTCAGACTGTTAAAATGTAGAATTAAATGAAGCAAGTAATCCAGTGATTTCCTAGTCAGGAGGACCAGATGCATGCACCTGGGCCCGTTTGTAGATGTTGACAGTGCTGCTCAGTTGTAATCCTTTCCAGCTGAGTCCTCTGGTAATAGACTGTGTTGGACAGTGTTTAGTTCAGATGGTTAATTTCAATGGCATCAAGAAGAACAAGGTCACACGGGTCTTGATTTTCAAGGATGTTTAATAGACACCAACTCCTCCTTCCAAATATGACTTAAGTGCTTTTCAGGGAAGGATATATTAAATATTAGGGCAGTGGTTTCCAAACTTGAGTGTGCCATGAAGGACTTGTTAAACACAGATGTTGGTCCCTTCCTCCAGGGTTTCTGATTGGAGGGATGTGCTGAGAATTTGCATTTTTAAAAATATTGTCACATTTATTTCACTTTAATCCAGTTCTGTGCTCTGTATATATCACATATACATGAATGTTTATGGATTAGTTGATAAATAAGCTCTTTGTCCTTTTATTTATTTTTTAATTACTTTACTGTTGTTCAATTACAGTTGTCTTCATTTTACCTCCACCACTGCCCCCACACCAGCTAATCCCAACTCCCTTCCTTGCTTCCACCTTCCCCCTTGGTTTTGTCCATGTGTCCTTTACAGTAGTTCCTGGAAACCCTTCTCCTCACAGTCCCCCCCCTTCCCTTCTGGCTGTTATTAGATTGTTCTTAATTTCAATGTCTCTGGTTATACTTTGTTTGCTTTTTTCTTTTGTTGATTATGTTCCAGTTAAAGGGGAGATCATATGGTATTTGTCCATATGATCTCCCCTTTAACTGGAACATAATAGAATTTGCATTTCTAACTAGCTCCCAAGTGATGGGAGCCACACTTTGAGAAAAACTCTCTTAGGGACATAGACTATATAGCCACCATAAATCCTGAATTTTCAGGGTGGTTCCAACATCTTGTCATTTTATTATTTTCTGCAAAGTTGATTTTGTAAAAATCTATAGCTTACTATGTGTACATTTGTCAGATAGTTTATGAAAATACGTATACAAATTAATTCATTTAACAAGTATTCCCACCACATGCTAGATATTATGCTAGCTTCTGGGGCTGCAGATGTGAATCAGACAGACCACCTCTTACATTCAGAGACTGTGGTAGTGGGTAAGGGCAGAGAGTGCAATGCAAAGTAAACAAGAAAATATGATAGTGATAACATGCTATCACTACCATAGGAGAGATGGAGTGCCAAGACTTGGAAGACATGTGACATAGACTTTGATGCTTGGAAGATCTTCCTGGAGGAAGCAACTTTTAGGCTGACATCTAGTGAATGATAAGTAATTAGGTGGATTTAAAAGAGGAGGAGGAAGATGGCAGGAGGGGAGAGAGAATAAAGCTGGGGGACTGGGAGGAACTATATTTTGGTGCTCTGCAGGTAGTAAACAAATCTCAGTGTGGCTAGAGCATAGAATTTGAGAGAGTATTATATGATTAGGAGGAATAAGCAGGCTGAGGACCACACCAAGCCTTGTGAGTAGTGGTAAGGAGTTTGGGTTCTTAACAGCCTCAAGCCAAAGTTCCTATCTGCCATACCCTTTATCACCTTTTTCATTTGGGAAACTGTGACCCTCCAGGGAAAAAAAGCAAGGATGAACTTTTTTTTTCATTCAAATGGCCTGATAAATGTAGATCAAATAAGGATAGCAAAAGCTGCAATCAAAATACAACTTTATCTTCCACACTCTCAATAGAGCTTTATTTGGAAGGGTTGACTATTTCCTGCCCCAAGATAAAAACTTTTCTACTCATTCTACTCATTTTTAGGTCACATGTAATTGTTGTGCTTATAGAGAGCTACAAACAATTTTGGTTCACAAATCAGTATCCAATTCAGGATATTAATGAAAACTCTGAAATTGATTTAAAGACAGCACTTCATCACTTCCTCAGGCTCGAAGCTTCCAGTGGAGGAAGGAGACATGGACTTGGATTTTTCCCCTTCCCTAGTCCCCCAGCATGTTGGCCAGAGAGCTCAAGCATCTAGACATAGGGAAGAGTAGGAAAGGGATGAGAAGAAGAATAGAGGTGGTCCCTTTAGAGCTGGCTTTGCTTTCTCCATGCCTGGCAGATGTTTAAAGCCTATTTTTTGTCATGTGGGCCTTTTGGGGGCTCCTTGGAGGCTCTATTTATGAACCATCTGACCCTGACCTTCTTGAGCTAGTCAGATGCTTCTCTCATCTGTTTGGTCAGTTATGTCATCTCCTTCCACTACCCCCAGGTAGCAGATGCTCACAGTGCCTTTCATTATGTGCTCTTAATCTAGCTGATCTCCCTGCAGCTGGGATGAACATTCCACACATTCTGCCAGCATGCCACAGCTCAGTCTTGGCATCTTCTTGTTTGGCTCTAGGGGCTCGCTCTAAAGCAGAGGAAGACTCTTTAGGCCTTGAACAAAGACCTAAAGAGCCACTGCTCTGAAGTGGGAGGAGGTATTAGTGCTCCCAGGAGTGACCCTTATAAAAGGGACAGTGTGAGGCAATAAACAAATTACTTCCATTTCATTTGATGTGACATTTCTGAGATCTGTTCCACTGGAGGCCCAAATGGTCCTGACGCAGCTTGAGACTCAATTGCTCACACTATCTACCAACTCAGTAACTCATTGTTTTATGGCTTTTTCTCTCCTCCCTTGTTCACTCTTCTCCTTTTCCTTGTTTCAAATATCACCTCCTGAATTAACTCCACTCAAGTCATTATCTGAGACTCTGTTTTGAGGAAAACCCCAAAGCAAGATACCCTACTAATTTAGGTAATCTTTTTCTGAGATTTTTCTACACAATAGGAAGGACAATTAGAACCCTAAACCATACCACACTTATTACCTCTTCTGTGTTGGTTATATCATGGACACAGTAATCATTGATACATCTATACATCAGTTGACCTGCAAAACTCTGGGAGTGTGAACCATCACAATAGGCCAACCTACCTGTATTTCCACAACCCAGCCTTAGCTTTTTTATTAGATAATTATTTCTCTTCAATCCTTGTAATAAAACCCGCAGTCTTATTCAATGGAGACATTGAACTAGAGAGGCTTCAGACTAGGGCAACCCCGGCACA